TTGCAGGCCCGAAACTTGTTCCTAGCCTCCTGCTAAGAGAGGAAGTAGGGTTCGCGGCCAAGGGATCATGCTACTGATCAACGCACGTATCTCGAGACAAAGAATGATAGACGAAGCTCGATGGGTGTATTGGAGCCTTTCTTACATTCGTCATGGCAGATTGGCTTATAGAACTCTCGAACCTTGTAACTGTGCCGCAAGCTTTGCATAGCACTTTCTTGAGCCACAATTCCAGGGACAACTCCAGATCCGAGTTCTTCGGATCAGGTGTTGGCAGACTTTTCGGGCTTCGGGCTTGGGATCTGAAACCATGGCCTTGGTGGGTCTGAAACTGAGGTGCAGCTGCTTCAGTTAGACAGCTTCAGAGTTTGGGCGGTTCAAGACGCCAGCCCACCTCGATCACTGTGGAAGAGGGGCTGCCAGTGAGAGAGCTGCCGCCTCAAAGTGCGGCACATAATGCATTGTAACTTAATCTAATGTAAAAAAGCATAAAATAACGTAACATAACATAATGTGACACAATAAAACATAGCATAATATGGTACTCTGAGACTCTGCGCCAACCAGCAAGACATCGAGTGGCACACCGATATGTGCAGTCATTGTACCATCGACAGGATCACCCAGGACCCAACACCCTGGGGCTCCAAATAGCCCAAAGTAGGTATTCTTTATAGACTTTAAGCCCCAAAGTATGTACTATTTCTATACTTGGAGCCCCAGGGACAGAGACGATTACGACACCGTAGACACAACGACAGCACCAGGGCTACCAGGACAAGAACGACTGAGACATGTGCTGGCAGGGCACGAACCGAACTCCGAACGAGGTGGCTTTTGAGAGATAGTAATTAAGCTCCCAAACAGCTCAACAAAGCCTGAAGATATCACCACCGACATTCGAGAATGCTCAGCTCGGAGTTGCTACAGGAATTTCCGTTTAAACCCTAACCCCCTACAAAACTAAGGCGTGGTCACTGCACACCGGCATCGCGAAGCCAACCGGGCCCCTTCTCGGCCTGGAGGTCTGATGGAAAGGATCTACGGTTTGGGGTTTAAGGCTGAAGAACCTACCTTTTTAGGGTTCCCTATTATGATTTCCTTATATAAGTCCTTAAAAAGGTAGGCTCTTCAGGGTTAAGGTAGGGTTTGAGGTTTAGGGTTTGGTCTCTCACTCTCGCAAACGGTTTGGGGTGTAAGGATGCAAGGCTGTCGGCATAGGGCAGATGTTGTGTGCTAGTGTTTACAGCATGCTGACCACACTGCCCGTTGCAAACCTACAGTGGAGGTTGTATTTCAGATTTCAGAAGGCCCCGAAACCCACCCACGACATCTCGCAACGTTTTAAGCTCAGCTTAACTGTGCACCCTTGAGACGCATGGCTTCATGACACGGGACCTCTAGCCGAAAAAGGATAACACTGATTTTTTGGAGACTGCAGGGCAGACCGTTCATGGCTGAAGTTGTCGCCTTCCGCAGGTGCTTACCTAAAGAAAACCCACAGAGAACCCAGAGACTCCAATACCCCTGAATTAAGGAATATTCCTTAAATCATATTAAGGATCCTACTATAATTTCAGGTATATTCTTTAATTAATTAAGGGGTATTGGAGTCTCTGGGAAGGACCTCGAGGCTCGGAGGACCTACCCCTAAGCCTCCCAAATCCTAACTACTAGCACCTTGGACACTACCGGAAAAGTGGCGGGAAGAAGAGGGCATATTGAAAGCTCGTGAAACGCATCACTTCAAGCATGAAGTTCTTGCTACGTAGTGCTGAAATTACACAAACAATCATCTATGCAGTTGATGCATTTTCAAGTAAGATGAGTGCCGTCCACTATACTGCATCCAAGGGCGTGTGCTAACGAGCAAGAAGCAGATCCTGCAAGCATCCAGAAGCTTGAACCTGCGACTTTAGCAATTGGCGACCCAAGACGGAACTGACAATGCTTAGATCAAGGCGTCATCGCCCGGCGGCGGCGTGCCCACGGGCCTTGTGAGAATCAAGATCGAGAGAGTCACGCCAAACCACTTGGGCATCTTGAAATCCAAAAAGTAACCCTTGCAGGGCCTTTGTAGTCACCCTTCTTTTGGAGGGAAGCCCTAACGCATAGGCTCCTGAACCCTAAAAGCACAGCTAAGATATCTCAGTGTCCGACCCGAACTCCACCGCATCCCTTCCGGCCGTCGACTCCTTGGACGCCGCGACTTTTATGGTCTTTGCAGGCTTGTACATTCCAAGCCTTTTGTAAGTGGGAGGTTTATTGCACTCTAGCGCCTTATGGGGTTTGAAGCTTTAGGACTTCAGGGCTCTGGCCATTTTTGCCACCCGCCCAGCTGAACAAAGTCGCACCGCGGGCAACTCGTCTGAAGCACTTGGCTATTGGGATTGGGGCTTTGGGATGACTTGGGAGATAAGCTTGGGATTCACGGTATGGCAAGTCAGGCAATGATTCAACACGACTACTTCTCCGGAAGCACGGGAGAGCTCAGACAAAGAGACCATGGACACTCAAACCGAAAACCCTACAGCGGTGAGCCTTCTCCACCTCAATTTCATCACCTTCCTCTGACCCAATGCCCCTACCATTCAGAATCCCTACATTGTCGCAGAAGCTCAAATCCCTCAAGGAAGTCTGAGTGTAGAGCGGCAGCCTCGACAGCTCTTTCCTCCCATTGCCTCAGTGGCGCAGAGATGGCTGCCTATCTTAGGGGGTAGCAGATCCTATAATTACCCTCAGAAGCACAAGCCGCATAGCAGCACCAAATTCCAGCAAAAAGCTCTGAAGGGGGGAGGTACAGGCAGCCTGCTAGCGTGGCACAGCACCTGATGCACAACCGACGAACTTGACCCATTTCTGTTTTGTGGTGCGTGGCTGGACTTGCGTAACCTTGTGGACCGTCTGGAAAGCATTGTCGGGCAATGTCTCTCGGAACCACAAAAACATTTACAGATCACGCTGAAGTAACGGCTAAGTGGGAGGGTAACACCCATTAAATTGCAACCTGTTTCCCTGCCAAAGCCCGGAAACTGAAGCCACAATTACCCTGAGTCCTAGTGCAAAGCAGAGCCCCTGCACTCTTCGTCTGCTCTTTTTCACCGGAGGGGTTGCAGCCCTGTCCACTTGCGTGATGCGACGGCATCTGCCAGCTGCATCACCTCGTACTCCATCGCTGTGCCTAGGGATCCGAGACGGACCAAGCTATGCAACGAGTTGCCAATTCTGTCGCAGCCAACAGCAGCTTCTTCCGAAACCCTCACTGAAGGAAGCCTTAACCCGATGATGCAAATGGGTCCCGTTTTGGATCCCTAATATAATACGACACCACCCGAATCCAAGGGCAAAAGGAGAAAACCCTTAATAAGGACCCCTAGGTATACACCCTTATTATGGCTATTATGTACCCATTATATAGCCCACTATAGGGTAGGGGTCCCCATTAAGGGTCCCTCCTTTTTCCCTTTGAAAAGCAGTGCCCCCCCGGGCCCGGGGCGGCCTATGTCCTCGGCGTGGGCTTCACGCACTGCATAGTCCCAGGTCCACATGCTGCCAGCTTCCGCAGGGGACCTCAAACCAGAATGGGGTTTAGGGTTTCGGCGCTTTTCGATTTGTGGTTCAGGGTTTAGGGTAGAGGGTAGGAGGGTTTAGCGTAGTAGGGAATGGAGGAATGGGGTACAAGTATAACTACTATTACTACCGTTCGTCCATTCCCTACTAACCCAAGGTAAGCAAACCAGCCAAAAGAATCAGCAACGAGTATGGCAACATCGAAGGCAATGAGAATGACAATACAAGAAGATGGCAGTGACATGGGTGTGTCTAAACTCACCGCCATCATCGGGCCACTATGATCATCCTCGTCAGCAACAGCATCACCGCCAGCATCAACGCATCCCCTGCAATGTCATAGCATACCATGACATATCATGTGATAGCATGTCAGGCTTATCATATCAGTAGCATCACCGTATCATTGGCCATGCAGCTGTGCCCCACCCAAACTTTCACAAAAGCTTGCAGTGAAACTCTGGTAGAGAAATCGTGAGCGCCTTCAATTGGCTCCCATCGAGTCGTAGGCCTGGCATTGTTCCTTCGAAGATTATGCGGGTTGCATCATTGCCGAATCATTGCACAAAAATACCTACAACAACCTTCCGAAATCTCAATTGCCTCTGAGCCTCGCAATTAGATCCGGGGACGCCAGCGAAGCGCACCAAGGAGTCGACTTGCAGTCGGGACGATCGCCTTGCCTTGGTGGTCACAAGTAGGCTTATAAACAAGTTAGGAGCCAAGCGACGGCGCAGGGTTTAGGGCAAAACTGGACTCGCGACGATTGCAAGATCCATAAGCACCGAAACTGAAGCTGCTCATGAGTGAGAAATAACTGTAGTTACTTGGAACTGAGCTGTCCACACATGCTTGGCCCTGCCGGCAACAAAGCCGCTCACGATGAGACGGGCTTGCACACTTGCACCTGCCAATCCCCGCTCACTCTTGTACAGTGTGGGACTGTCGGACTAAGTCGCGCTGAGTACTTCTGTAGACCCATTGTCAATGTACGCTCCTCTTCCGGATTGGGATCCAACTCGTTAAACTACAGTACACCGAAGTTGTGAATACAGGGTGGGCGGGTGCTGGCTACCTACATGAGCCCATGCCATTCCTCAATTTGGGGATTGGCGTTAACGGTTTGGAGTTAAGGGATGATAAGGCCCATGGTTCACAGTGGTGCGATGAAGTTCGCATACACGAGTTGTCGATGATTCCGGCAGAAGCCTTTGTTATGTGCCTGTTCGACATGCAGCAGAGGATACTGTCGAGTGCTGATTACTCGCTCCCCGCGCAAATCGATCTTGAGGCGATGAGAAATCCCAAACTCGAATACTAGTTACTAGCCATGGCCGCGGCCATAGCAACGAAGAACCGACCACGCCAGAACTCGGAGAATAACACCCTAAAGATCTTGCCCAGCCCTGGAAAATCCTCGAAGTGTCTGCCTATGTCGGAGCCGAAAAGGAGAAGCACGAACATGGGCTGGTGAAACCTCAGCTTCTGCAGGGAGCGATTGAAGTGTTCGGGCGGAAGGTGGGTGTCGGGAATAGGATTTGAGTTGCGTGATCTCATGCAAACTACCCCCCTTCAGCCTGAAGCTTCGATGCTGCACACTACACGCTAAACCGTCAAGTAGCTGTGGGAGCAGCCCAACCTGCACTGTGAAGTCCACACCGATACTCGCTGACATGGCCTCGGAAGGAGAGACTACGGTCTAGGGACCAGGGCTCAAGGCGCCTCCTCTACTTTTGCCTGGCTTAGGGTTTCGGGTCACGATTCCAGAAAGCCAAACCCTACTACACACTCAACAGCTCGAGAACACAACCAATCCAGAACCACCCACGCTACAGAAGCCAACACCATTACAGCTGGATCGCGAGCCCTATACCCCAAGGGTCAATCAATCATTCCCCCCTAAACCCTAAACCCCGAACCACAATCCTAAACCCTGAACCCGGCTGCGAGGTGCTGCAGCGGTTGGCGCCACCAGCCGATCAGCTGCATCCCCCACGATCCACTGCGCAAGCCCACTACGGAGTGCAGCCAGCGAATCCGCGCCAGATCTGACCGTGACGATAATTGTCGTTGAGTTATTGGGGTTCAGGAGCCTATCCTTTGACAGAAGAGAGGTTGGGCGAGGACAAGCTGACTCGGCAGCGTACACAGCCAAGCTCTGCCTACATCCCTCAGATCTTTCTTCCTCCTTGTCTGTCTCTCCTCCGACTCTGTCCATTGTGCCTCTTAGGCTATACCGCAAGCTTTTCGTGGAACTTTTTGCCTGCGGCCTTCAATCAATTCCTGATTCGCTCCACTCACTGGGGAACATTGCCCGCGAGAGTGAGCTCTCTTGCTTTGGCTGTCTTCGGGACAGAAAAAGTGAGACATGTTCCCAACATACAGGAAGCCAGTCGAGAGAATGCAATACACTTGTAAGTTCAAGAACCTTCCACAGGCACCCAATCTTCCACACTCACCCACATTTGGTTGCTTTGACGATTGCAAGTGTAGAAGTAAACATTGTCCTTGATAAAGACGCCGGCCACATCCCAGTCTAAGCAAAGATCTTGCCCCTGTGGCAGAATCGTGCCATCGGCGTTATAGATGAATTTCTGAGCTTCGGAACCGTCGCAATCCTGCAGTGTGGCATCTTCTTTTGCCAAGTTCTTGACTGTCTCGTTCGCATCCTTGAGTTCGGGGAAATCCTAGGCTGAGCAACCAAGCTGACGACCGCACACACCAGCTTTCAGTAAGCGCAAGTCGCTTTAAAATAGCTTGAAACGACAAATGGTGGCGTTCCACTTATGAGCCGCAGCATACCACACACAACCAAACGTGCACACACATCTGCATGTCGGAGAAGTGAGTTCAACGGCACATCACAATCAAAAGAAAGTCTCCTTCGCTTGCCTCGCTTCACACGCGGCTCACTGAGAGAACGAGCTGCTTCAATGGGCTTGATGCGAAACCCATAAGCCCTAAACCTAAAACTCCAGACTTCAGCTCGAGGCTGGACTCGAATAAGAGGTTCCGCTTTTTATTCCCACTTAGCGGAGCAAACGCCTGCACCAACTGTGAAAAAAAGATGTGTAAACAGCGAATATCCATATCGAAATCTATATCTTTATATCTTTATATATATATATATATGTCCATGTAGATACGTATTATGTGCACCTATATATATATATATACATACACAGTAAAAGCCCAAAAGTTGGAAACCCCATAGCTTCAATCCTGAAGAGCAATGTATAGGGAATCCCAGCTCTGTTTGGCCTTAATCCGGTTTCCAACTTTTTGGTGTTATATATATATATACACATATATATATATATGTATATATGTATATATGTGTGTGTATGTATATATGTATACTGTCATATAGACCTACATGTATGCATGCATCAGTACATGCTGTGCATACGTCTGTATGTGTATGTGTCTATACTTATGCAGGAAGATACAAAAAGAGTCTCTGCCAGAGATTCTGCAAACCCACCCCGCCGGCGTTGGTACCACAGGGCCCCCAACAGACAATTCCATATCCAAGCTTCGGACATCGTCAGACAGGAGTCGCCAAGGACCAGAGCAGAAGTTGCGAAATCCCACTGCCACTTTGGACAATCCCCACCCTCTGGAATAGCTTTCACCTCCTTGGATGTCAGGCTTCCAAGCACGTAAACTCCTGTAGGTCCCACAAGACAAGGGCTGCTAATATAGGGACCTCAATAGTTAGAATAGAGGGGTTTTGCTGGATTTTATACCGTAGTTATAGTATGGAACCACCAGAATAGTATGGGTAATTATTCAGGCCCCTTTTTTTGAGCACGGACTTGCAGGCCCCTAAACCCTAAACCCCAAACCCTGGGCTTGCCAAGTTTCCTGGTCCTGGAAAGCCAAGCAGTGCGCGTTGACCCCAAAAGATGGGAAGGAAGTCACGAAAACCTGGGTTAGTGTTAACCTAGAGGGTCCATATACACTATACCATTATGGAACTAGGCCCCCAAAGCCATAATAGGAATCGTCTTTTGGGGCCTAAGTCCATAATAGTAGTATATATGGACCCTCTGGGTAAGGGATGTTATTTAAGTTTCCATAGTAGGGATCTACAGTATCGTTGGCAAATAATCTGGCTCCTTGTTATGGTAACTTAAGTTGTTAAATCCTTTAACAAGGACCCAGCAACTGCCGGAGCCGGTTGTATTTTGGCCCATACTTGGTTCTGCTGCTTGTTGCATGTGTAGAAGTAGACGTTGTTGGAGCGAAACAGTCCACCCACATCCCAGTCGAGGCAAAGAGACTCCTGCATCTCGAGATGAATAGTGCCATCTGGGTAGAAAGAAACACGCTGTTCCTGAAGGCCAACACACTCCTCAAGCACGGCATCCAGCGCGGAAGACTCGTCGCGGAGGGTCTGATTGAGTTCAGTCTGCCGCAGCGCTTTCGAAAATGCCACTGCCGTCACACATTTGTTATCCGGAGTCTTCAGCTGACCATCTTCAAAGGTGAAGCGCTGCTCTTTGATTCCCAGGCATTTGTTACCGAGCAGCTGGTCTCGGGACCGAGTGGTGAGGCACACGAACTCAACTTCAGCATCCGGGACCGGCCACGAAGTTTGCAGCATGAAGGTCTCCGTGGTCGCTGTGCTAGTGCTCGTGGTTGTGGTCGTGCTGGTGCTGGTGGTCGTCGTGGTGGTGGTCGTGGTGGTGGCGGTAGTGGTGGTGCCAGTTGTTGTAGCACATGGATCGGGGGCTTGGAAGTCATGACAAGTCGCCTCGGGCTTGGTACCACAGTCGTAGAGCCTGCCGGCATGGCAATACATCACTTTGGTTGGAGCCAAAGGCCAGCGCACCACATAGACGCACTCATAGTCCTTCGCAAATGTGAAGGGGAAGAACCAGCATCCATTCTTGGGACACCCGGGGGCACTCCCACAAGCCGCCACGCTCGCTGCCTCTGTCTCGTTTAGAGAGAACTGGGGCATCTTGCTCCAAGCTTGCAGGATGTTGCTCTCTTCACAGTCCCCCGTGCTGCATGTGGGCTCGCTGACCACGACAGCGAAAACGCAGGATGCTAAAGCCCATGTACCTCGGCTGAGATTTCCTTGCTCGATTTGAACGAAATAAAAAGCTCTACAACGCTCAAAACGTACCAACAGGTTTAGAATGGTTCAAGGGATCCAATCTGAATCACATGACCCTACTATGACCAATGCCAGCAAAGCGTCGGAACATCACACACGACGAGTTGAGATCCGCGGGTCCTTTGCTCTCGAGCCGAAATGGCTGCGAGTCGCATCAGTACTCGTATGTATTCCTTGCAATAAATTGAGTGCGAGTGCCATACAAGCTCGACTCCGCAAAATGCAAGCATTCATCGCCATGTGACCTGTACAAACCCAGAGACTCCAATATCCCTGATTTAAGGACTATCCCTTAAATTATAATAGGATCCCTAATGCGATTCAAGGTATATTCCTTCATTACGGGATCTTGGAGTTCTTGGAACCAGCGCGACGAAAGGACTGACGGCCAAACGAAACACGTGTGCAAACTCCGCAGCTCGACCGAACAGAGCAGCGACTGAAAGTTCGTCCCCACATCTCCTGCAGTGTTCCGTAATGTACTTCATATAGTATCTTGACAATTAGAATAGGGTTTTGGGATAGTTTTGGGGCCCATTATACTATACTTTTAATTAGGAACCTCCAAAGTAGTGTAGGTAATTTAATATTTAGGCCTATAGTAGCTCCAACGATCAAAGTTTCAAGCTGTTGAACAAGCTCAAGGCGCTCCTTCCAAACATCAAATGTCCGGCACCAGGATGCCCGAATGCGTCACGCCCGGCCAGCCCCACATGTATACTATCCATCCTTCATCTTGGCCTTCGAGCTGTAAGTAATATAGGGCCTTAATAATTTCCTATACAATTTGGGGGTTCCCTATTACAATCATAGCATCATGAGCCCCAACACCCTAGTCTAATTATTCGCCTCGGCCCCGGCCGAAGCGGTCAGAGGTTCCTATTCGGATTCTCCTATTCCCCCTCTTAATCCCCTCCCCAGTGACCCACCTCTTAATCCCCTCCCCAGTGACCCCACCCCCAAAACTGGGGCCCGCTGACCCCCCCCCCTTTAAAATGGAAACGTGTCGACTAGCCCCAAGGTCCGGTGGTGAATTCTCGCCCCCTCCAACAACGGATTTTGGCAGTCTGTGCAATTTTCCTCCCGTCCCCTCCCCCTCTCCCTCCCCCCCCCCCTCCCCCTTCCGCCTTCCCTCCCGCCCCTCCTCCGCTCGCCGCTCGCTGACAGGTGCGAGCTTTCTGGAGTTTTGGACGACACGGGGCTGCAATGTAGCATGTTTATGTGCGTCTCAGGCTTGTTTTAGACGCCCTTTCGTTGGGATAGGCGGAGTAACGTGGTTGAAAAGGGTCTGATGCTTCCCTACCAAGACGCCCACGAAATCCACAGCCTCAACGGCCCATACTTAAGGCATCCCGCCGCTTGCGAGAGTCTTGGTATCCAGTGTTTCGGAATGACGACACCAAAATTCGTACTGATACTACCACTACTAATACTACTCACAATCATCCTGCTTCGTGTTGCTATGAACATTACTTTTACTATAAGTGCGATTCCAACTGTTACTTTTTTCCTACAAGAGCTTGCTGCAGATAGTAGCCACTCGCCGCATGCGCGTACAGCCGGGCCGAGGCGGACGACGCGCAGCGAAACAAATTAAGGCCCCTATATTATAGTGCCCTTATAGATCCCTTATAGTAACCCTTCGAAGCCCCTTTAACGGGAAGCCTACTCTAATTATTAAGGCCCCTATACTATCCTAAACCCTAAACCCTATAGATCCCTTAAAGGAGCCAGTAAGGATCTAGTAAGGCCCCTGAACTACTACGCCTGCCACTAAATCGACTGCCTGCCAGTGGGCAGAAGGGGCCGCAGCGAACAGCCAGGCTGAGAAAGAACGAAGATCCTGCACAGGGTTTACGGTTTAGGGCACAGGGATTGGAATTTCGGGCTTTGTGGATTTCTGATTCAGTGTTCAAACCAACACTTCATAAAAACGATCAAGGTACATCGGCATGCCGCAAGCACCGACGATGCCTTGTGAACAGGGAGACTCTTGGAAGCTTACAAGAATCGACTCTTTGAGGGGGACGGGGTGCGCTGGTAGAAACGGAAAGGCGCAGAGCACGTCTCTCGTACATTCTCGTACAGCCGGAGCCTGTAAAGCCCCGCACTCTAAGCCCGACATACCCAATGCCTGGCCCTAATAAAAACTTACCTATGATCAACAAGCAACAGTTTCTACCCCTGACCCCTGAGGCCCCAAACGGGACGGCCCAGACTAAGACTAAGAGCCCGAAGAAGGACCCTGTGGCTGCACCCAAAGCAGCACCTGCGCTGCGGATCTGCCAGAAGCCTCGCGAGGTCCCTTTCCACCTCATCCTTCGCGGAGACCTGTCAGCTGTAGGGTTTAGGACCGGGGGTGATGGTACCCAGAGACTCCAATCTCTCTGAACTGTCATATCATATAAAATCATAAAATTTAACTATCTCACTATTGCCGCCATGATGACCATGCACGGAAGACAAGATGGGCAGCTTCCCACGAGCCACGCCCTACTACTCGGCCTTGCTGCTGAAGGTGCCTTGCGGCACAGACAGGAGCGGAGGTCGCAGCATTCCTTGCAAGCTTTAAGGGATGGGGATCAATAAAGGATCTGCTTCAATAAGAGATGTGAGGCATGTTTGTATTTGCAAGATGCGGAGTTTCAGGGCTTCGAAGCTTTTGAGGACTTCAATAGGTGGGGTCCGAGTGAAACAGAAACAACCTTTCGCGTCTCGAGTTTTGGTCTTCACGGTTACAGGGTGCTTTAGGAGTCTTCGGGTTTAGGACGGTTTAGTCTCTCTCTCTCTCTCTCTCTCTCTCTTCTTTTTCGGGGCATGAGGGGGTTTCGAAACCCCTCGGCCTTGTAGGCCGCCCCGATGTTCGTGGGGCTTTGGAAGGGTGTGAGAAAATGCAGATTTCCCCTGGGTTTGAACAACATGAATACGGATACGGATCCATAACACGACTATCTTCACATGAGTTAGGTTCCCAGGGTAAACAGCATTTGGCATTAACGTTTGCTTCCTGAGGAATATGCTGTTTGAAGTGACTACTATATATACACAGTAGGAAGATCGCATTTCCCCAGGCTCGCAACTGTTCTGCCATCTACTTCTCGACTTGACCATCGGCTCGCCTGACATGTCCGCCTTTCCTTCGGTACTCGTACCTAACAAGAAATAGTGCCAACATCAGGAAACTTCATGGAAAGGGGGAACTGGACATTTGTTTCAGCCATCTTAGGCTGTGCCGTAATCTTCGCAACTAGTTGTGTTGGAAGTGTGTAGGTTGGGTCAACGTTCGGATCACAGAACCTGTAGCCTACAAGTAACATCCAAAAGAACAGGTACAAATGTTTGCCAACCTATTCCCCCATTGGTATGCAAGCCATGCGCTTCACGACAGTCTGGGGTATCAAAAGCAGCAATAGAGTGAAATGACATGAATTACAGTGTTCCCCCAGCAGCTTACAGTCGTGTGTGCATGTACGTGCAGAGACTGAGGCCGGGACTTGGGGACAGGCGCTGTCTCCAAGCAACACAATCATGGTGAGCCAAGATTATCAATAACAGCCGTAGGCTTGTCCGGCAACCTGTCCCCCTCTCTCTCTCTCTCTCTCTCTCTCTCTCTGCCGTGCCAAGGGTTTAGGGAAGCCTGAACCCGAAAGTTTGGGGCTCAGTAGGGAATCATCCCAAACTTACCAAGCAGGATCGTCAGGCAGGACCTCCTAATGTCCGTACTTACGTGGACCGCTCGTTTTCTTTACGAGATCTCTTTACGATTCCCTCTGAAGCAGAAGCATACGAGGCTACGAAACACGAAAGCAAGCCAAACCCCACGACCACAATGTTGAAGGTGTCCAATCTATTTAGGAGCAGCGCAGTATGCGCCCTTTTCACGATGGCTGAGACAAATGCGAATCTCAGTATGTAGGCAGGCAAAGAACAGCAAGATGCTGTTGCGAGACCTTCAATCCTGGCCATGGCTGTACATTTCAATCACAAGCCGGAATATGTGCAGTTGCTCAGCTACACATGACTCAAGAGGCCTCTCTACTTAACCTCCCCCAAAGCCAGAACAGGACAGTTCAAGCCATCGCAGTACCTGCAGACTACCACTGCTTACAATTGACATGCTGGGAGTATTGTCAACGCTGGCCCTAATCCCAGCCAAAAATGTGTATAGACTCTCACTAGTACAGCCTTGGTATGAGATGACAAAAGAACCGTCATCAAGCCCCAGAAACTGCACATGATCCACATAGACTCCTGTAGAACCCATCTTGAAAAAAACTTTACACACAAAAAACGCATGTCCGATGTTTGAAGCCCTCATAATAACACTTCATAGTAACCCTTTTCAACACCCCACCCCCCAGCACCCTCACCAACACCAAATGATCGAGACGAACTTACCGAGGCTCCAGAGATGTGGGCAAGGCAGCCGTCTGGAAGCGGATGATTCCCTTCCTTTAGCCGGGGTTGAAGGATGAGGATGG